AATTTGTGATAATGAGTTCAGCCATGAGTTCCACTGATGGACTCAGAAAGTAATGCCGGCACCCTTCGAAGTGCTTTGCTAATTTGGATGCCCTGAGGCTGCTAGGACTTGGCTTTTCTTGAATATAACCAGAACTTTTCTAGGACATCACACCATGTCCTACCTGAGGTTCAGCTTTCATCTGCAGATGTGAACAATCACATTTTTGTAGACCTAGACCCAGCTTTCCCTTAGTTGCCAAAGGTGCAAACTGTGGTTGATGTAATTTTCCCCATTGCACAGGAACACGGTTGGACAAGCAGCAACAGAAACCATTTTTACCTTAGTAAAGTCATCTTCTTTCTCTTACACAAATTTTCACATTTTCACTTTTTAAATTATAAATTTTTTCCAATTTTAACAGTGAATAAACAAGGTTTTAGAGCCCATGATCTCCTTCAGTATTTCTCTCTTGTAAAGACTGAACTTGTTTCAAAATTTGAAGGAGACATTCATAACCTACTTTGGGTTTTTCAATGTTTTTGCACACTAAATTGCTTTCAGAAACCACCTCTCCCCTTTGCAGGTAGTTACAAAGCATCATTAGCTCACTTGCGCCATGTAAATAGGGAAAAATTCCTCCACACATCATTGTGAAATAGGTTTTTCAGCCTTTGAATTTTTCTTGTACCTCCTAACTTTTCCACCTTTACAGCAATCTTCCTAAATATGTGAACTGGTCAGAAATGTTCAGTGACACCCCCTCCCCCAGTCCCCTACTTCTAAATGTCCTCTGAACAATTATCCCGTGAAATACAGATGCATTTTGATCTATGAAAGCAGCCAAACCCATGCCAGCTCGTAACAGTTCTGAAACGCAACCTGCAGCCCCGTAGCAACCTCCCTTTGCACCCCATAGCACAGACTTTGGGGGACAGATTTGACTTGCCATGTCTTCCCATCCTTCCTACCTGCCTTCGGGAACGCTTTTCCACCACACAGTAGGGCTTTGCCAGTAGAATCTGAGATACCCCGAGACTGAACTTCATCTTTTGCACTTACTGTGAGTTTAAAAGATATTTTAAAAGCCTGGCTCCTCCTGACCTGCAGTACTACCTCCTTTTTCTTCGCAGCCATCCTTCTGCAGGAGCAAGGGTCCTTTGAGCAGCAGTCCCAAGCGCAAAGCACTGCAGACGTCCTCTAATTACGTGAATCCAACTGCTGGCCAACCTGCACCACAGAAAAAGCTTTTCACCAGTCTTTGCCCTTCCACCCAGGCCATACCACCTACAGCAGCGTCCCTGTCCTGCTGGAGAGAGCGGGGTGGCTCAGCAGTGCCCAAAGCCCAGACACAGCTCTGCTTGCACCCTTTTCGTAGAGGCGAGGTGCTGCTGCAGGGCCTGAATTGCTGCTCACTTTTCGAGACACTTTTCGTCTGTCCCATCTTGCCCCATGAGGGTGGCAGAAGTGAACCGGCCCCAGCCAGGGCCCGGCAGTACCTGTGCGGTGGGTGGCAGCACCCCAACGCTGCTATGGCAGCCCTGGCAACGTCGGGGCGGAGCGGCAGCCCAGCCCGCTCCCTTCTCAGTGTCCGCTGCAGCCAGGAAGTTCAGCTCCATCTCCTCTGTTATTCCCCCTTCAAGCAGCAGCAGCTGGAGCCCCTCTGCCTCCTCTTTGCCTGCCAAACCTGCCCAACTTCCCCTGCAGGCCCTGGGCCCCAGCCCGCCGCATGCTCCCTGGCTCCTTTTCCCCTGTCCCTCCCAAAACAAGGCGCAGGGGATCCAGACATGACCTCCCCAGCACCGAGCGGAGGGGACAAGCTGCTGGCCCCGCTCCAAACGCAGCTCAATTTTTGAAGGTTGGTTGGGTTTTTTTTCTTATTTGCAGTGAGTGCACAGTGCCTGTGCCCAGCACCCCCCAGGGTGATGCCCGTTTGAGCAGGGCTGCGGCTCACCCTGTCCATTCCCACGCCTGGGGTCACTGGGCTCCAGCTGCACGCCTTGGTGGTGCTGCCTCTTGTCACGCAACACACGATGTCTGGTGCCCTAGTCCTCCAGCTGGTCAAGGTCCCTCCTGGTTGAGGATTTGGCTTTTGGCACATCGACTCCCCTAGTGCCCCTGGCAATCCGAGGGGACGCTGTCCAGTGCCTCCAGGGGACATGGCGGGGCTGAGCCTTGGCAGGGGCTCCCCTGCCTCCAGCACCAGCTCCGCAGAGCAAACTGCACCCCTGGATGTCCCCAGCAACTGTCTCTTTTTGTAGAAATAAGCCTCCAGTAAAGTCCTGATGATTTTAACCTCTGAAATTTTGCATGTTTACACCTATCATGCACTTACATTTCAGGATTACCAAAGACAATCCTGTTAAACCCATTTTCTAGTCTTCAAGAATCTAATCTCATGTACCTCAATTATTCTTCTGCCTGCTGTGCCACTGCTTCAGCAGTTTCATGGAGGTGCAGCATCTACTGTGATAGCTAAAGTCTATAAAAATGAATTTAAAAAAATATGAGATGTTTGCCTTAAGAACATACTGGCACAAGATGCTTTTGAGCAGGTCACTTAGCTTCTTTCACTATTACAATGCAAATCTGTGATTGGAACAACAGCTAAATTGTAAGTCTCATTTGACTTTCTGTGTGGGAGAGACTCCAGTCCAAACAGTGGAGTTGGTGGGGAGCAACCAAGAGTACCACCTGTCTGACAACTAGCATGTCAAACTCCATGCAGAACTATTCACTTTTTGACACATCTAACCTCTGGAAGAAGGACTACCATCACTGGACTCAGATCAAAGAGTGGACATACTTATCAAAATTCATTAGAGGACTGGTGTTCAAAGAGAAATGGCACAAGAACAGCAGAAATCCTGGTGATTTGTGTTATGTCCAGACAAATTCTATACTTGCTTTGGTTCTGCAAGCAACACTGTAATTCACAAGGCGCTGCTACCTAAATAAAGTTGGTAAACATCTGGCCAACCAGCAAACAAGTTTGTTCCGACTATGAATCTCAGGCTAGCAACTGTCAGTCTGTAGAAAAGCTGGCACAGAAAGCTGAGATTTCTCCATGAAGCTGAGAAAAATCTAGATGTTCTGGTAAAGTTCTTTTTATTTACAGTATTCTTCTTTTTGTACATACCTATAGCAACATCAAAAATTATTCACAAAGCTTAACTGAATGTAAAAATGTTCTCATCCAACAGTTTGTCCTATCAGTATCTGTGGAAAATGTCGACTGTTCTCATGCAGCAACAAGATTGTCTGAGCATTGTTTTTTAGTTTTTCTGGTAGAATTTTAGGAAACCATCTCAAAACATGTACACAGAGACTTACTCACCTTTTTTCTGAACACCTTTAGGCACCGAAGTTTTATAGAATCAAACTCAGATTTGCTTTTGGAAATGTGAATTGGGGGAGGACGAGAAGAGATATGTAAGAACTTGAGCTCCTAAATGTACATAGCGGGAGTGCAAATTTAGAAGTCAGATGCACGCTGTACAGTTTTGCATTTACAATGCCTGCCTCAGAACTTTTTTCTCAGTTCAAGCAAAAATATATTTGATTGAATTTTATAAATAAGACTTCACTTCTGAGGTACTGATATTTATCAAGTTCTCACATATTTTTACTTTCCCTTTTGTTCAGCCCCCCAAAGTCCCTCATGAAAAATTTGCAGAAGGACATTAAAAAACTGCCAGTCACTTACTGCAATGCCTGGGGAAAAAGTGTCAGGTGCTCACTTTTATTTGTTTTTCAAGAGTGGAAGAAGTTACATGAAATGTATATATTCTCCTTTGCAACCAAGTGATAACAGTATCTGATACATAGCACATTCAAATTGCAGGCCAAACTGTGGTCATGTTTTCTGACACAAGTAGTTACCTTGGAAAAAAGTAAGGCTATCACAATTTGACCTTCTGATTATAAATAAAAGATTAAGATACTTATAAAAATTGGTTAGCAAAGCTACAGACCTTTCTTCTTGCTGCAGCCTTCCTGAAGTTCAATGTAACAAAGGAAAGATTTGGTTTAAGACATCGGCTGCAATCTTCAGTGTGCCTGTTAGTGCTATGTTAATATAGCGTTTGGAGATTCTGACTATTAAAACTATGGTCTATACTGAAATCAGAAAGTAGACAAGGGAAGAAAGCAAGAACGCTGAACTGCATGAAGGAGAGCTCCTCGCTGCCCTCATTTGTTTCTATGCATATTTGACTGTGAAGCCACTGGGGTCTCATATTCCAGCCTAACCTTACACAGTCGTCTTCATTTGTACTCGTATTTTTTTCTCCACACTTACAGGCACAATTTCAGGAACTTATGGAAAATCTAGGTTTCTGAACGCAGTAAAATCTCATCGCTTATTATCCAGGTATCCAAAACCATGCAAGTGTGTATATCTGCATATATACACAAAATCTGTAGCAACATTACTGAGCTAAAAAAAAAAAAACAAACCAACCCAAACCCCCAATTTTTCCATCCCTTCCCCAACTTAATGCACCCAGCTGGTCTTTCGTGGAAATAATCTGTAAGTCACTTAACTGTATCTGGAGGTAAAGGATGCAAAACAAAAGCAATCTCTTAATCACTGCTTGCCAGCTCCTTCTGGTCTCTTCAAAGTGTAACTTCTGCAACATACTGTTCGCTCTATTGATATTAGTGATCAGCAAATACTTATCACCCGTGAAATAAGCTAATCCTTCACCAATTATCTGAGCAAGTTCTTGGCTACTAAAGCAATAGCTTATGCCTGCTGATATTGCAGCCACCTGTTCCTTTCCAGAAAAGTCAACAGTCATGCTAACTCTGAAGTATGAGCTTTTCTTCTAAAAACATAAAGAAACCCAAAACAATCCAGTTGACCCATTCCATGGATTTGAGCTGTACCAGGTGACCTTGTATGACGGTAAAAAACTCTCGGACCTTGTCAGTACAGAATGCGTTGCTTATAATTTGGGGTCTACTGTCTCCCTCTATTTGTCTCTTTAAAAAGGAAGTATAATGTAAGTTAAGCTGAAGTTCAGAAATGCATATATTTTACTTAAAAACATTCATCTGTTCAAAATTCAAAATAAACTTTATGGGATACAACAGTTTGGTTTTTTTTTTTTAAATAACATTTCATTCAAACTGTATATAATTCATTGAAGTATTCGTACAGCAAACAATGGTTAACCCTTGAAAACCTGTAGAAAAAGATTTTCACACAAAAAAAAGGAAAAACAAAATTGAGGTATCACACCCACACACATTCTCCCAAGCACATGCACACACTCAAGCACACCCACACACATCCACACACGCAGGCTGCAGCAAAAGCAGAAAATTGTAGGCCCAAAAGGAAAATGATGACTGATTGTTCTATCCGAAAGTCCAGGTAGCTCAGGAAAAAAAAAACCAACCAAAAAACCAAAACAACCCCCCAAGAGTCCTCTGAGTAAAGAAACTACCTCAAGAAAATTCTCAAGTGCACTGGAGACCTGATCATTTAAACTGTTTCTGCAAAGCAGCTCCCTGCACCTGAGAAAAATGCAGCCCAAGGTGACTTGTGCAAATATAAGGAGTCAGGAATATCTCCTGCTATTCCTTAAGTAGACATGAGGGGTGTCCATAGATTCAATTAGTCTTTGATCATGCAAGATACTGCTGGAGTGCTGTCTTCGCCCTGCAATAAAGGAATAACCTGTTAATTACTGGGGTTTGGCTTTGTCATCAACAGCTTTATGTACAAGACTATGCATTGTGCCAGCAAGAGAGGGAGGATGAATGAGTGAGGTAAAAGGAAGCCAAGTGGCTGGCTCCTTCAGTTTGGAAGAATCTAGCCCATGGTGCAGAAGTGCTCTGCATGGCCTGTAACAATTGAAGAATAAGATGATCTAGCCAAGTATATTAGATACTCAGCATGAACTGAGCAACTTTCAAGTATGGTGGGGCTTAAGATGTATATTGAACCTCATTATCATCACACCTTAGAAAAACCCTTAAGAGCAGTAATTGTGAAGAGCAATTACTTTTCTGAAATAGAGATGTACCATGAAAAACAGGTCTTTGAGCTGAGAAATGAAAGAGGTGTCATAAGTCAGAACATACTAGAAGCACATTAGTCCTGTCAGGAACACCAGCCCTAGCAAAAACATGCAATGAGGTGAGAGGGAGAAAAGCAGCAACAGCCAGCGTAATACCGGAATTTACGTAATCTAATATTGTGCAACATTTTTGTTAAGAAAAAAAACACCTCCCAAAAGTCTAGGGTTACAGTTTCATCATCACTTCTGCTAATTGTCTCCTACCACCTGAAGTGAGAAGCTTTGCTCTTCCTTTGTCCCCCACACCTCCCAACCATGCTATCATGACCTTGACAGACTTTTCCAAGATCCGATACAACTCAGCAGCCCAGAGGAAGTTTGTTTATTTTTTTCTTCCAAGTTTCCTGCTATGTTCACAAGTCCTATCAGCTCATCGAGGGGGCTGATGAGGCAGACTTGGGATAGGGTAAACAGTGGGAGCAGGTGGCCAGAAGAAACAGGAGGGACAGTGACTTGCAACAGTGCTAAGCACAATCAGCTCCCTGTCTCATAAAACCAAGGCTTAAGGGTTGACAAGCAAGGCCCATTTACCAGAAAGTATTTTTACTGGTGTAAGTTTTATTTCTATTTCTCACTGTTTGAAAACCCTATTTAGTTTTTCCATAATTTTCTGTGAGCCTGCTTACTGATATCTGTATGTTCCTGATTATCACCTTCAATACTGATACTTTGGCATAGATTTTAAACAGAGAAGTCCTAACTTTACTACGAAGATGTCTAAGAACACTGGAATATCTTTCATAAAAACAAGAAACCCAAATTTAATGCATTTTAAAACACTGCACAGTTTTGAGTTGTGTTGTCTGTGTATGTCCTCTTTCAAAAATCAGATCATCTCCTTTAGTTCATGAAAGAAATACAGGTTGTAACTAATTGTAGGTGGGATAATTGCAAAAAGTTAACGTAGAAAAAAACCAGAAACTGTCATTAGCTATTTTGGTTACATGTATTTGTGAAGAAACTAGATGATCTGTGTAGCTCCTATGAGTACAGAACATGTGAAAAGCTACTGCTGAGCTTAGTTTCAAAGAATTTAATTGAGATAAACAACAGCAGTGATCCTATATTATCTTTTTAATTCATAGTGTTATATGATGGTTTATCATTGTTCCAATCCTCTGGAACTTTGTTAGTGGCCCAAGGTTTACACAAATATTTATGTATCAGTGAGATTTCAGAGAGGACCCTCCACTGGTTTAGAAGGTCTTAGATGGTAGTTATTTTATTTTATACTATTGAGATATTCAGTAAAATTTGTTACTCCTGAGCAATACCTCTTTAAATAAGTGTTCATCACAATTTCTTTATACACCATAAAACTCAGTGCAATGATAGACAGTTTTTCTGGGGAATTTTTCTATAATAAAAAGATTTCAAAAAAAGATACTTTTTTTAATAAAAAGCAAAGATTTTCCTCTAATCATATTTTTGCATTTTTCTTTATACTCACTTGTCACATAGATTTGGATCCGATGACTGACTCAATTTATGCAAAATATCTACTATTCCCATGTCTCGTAGTTTATCTTGGCGTTCTTGTGAACCTACAACAATAAATCACATTGTTGGGAATACCACCAAAAATAAATGTCTGCAGAACAGAAGAAAGGAGTGGTAGCAGAAATCAGCTTAAAGGAGGGGTACGGAACACAGTTCAGTTAGAACACAGCAATGGAAAAACTCCCTCAGTTGTGGCTAATTCCCCAAGGAGCTCTAGTCCCAAAGGAGCTCTAGTTTCTTTTTTTGTACTCCGTGTGCGTATGTTTGAAGTAAAGAAAATTTTGAAGGCAAAAATCTGAACACATTTTATCCTAAAGTAAGCAGCTTAATTTCAGTTGGTTTATTCTCATCTCTCTGATTTGGATGCAGAGAACATTTAACGGGAGGTGTGTTTTTAAGTCTGACTTGTAGCACTGTATAATGCCAGTATAAGGAGTGGAAAGCAAGCAGGAGCATAGCCAAGTGTCACACACTGAATGAAGCTCTGTGATCTGAGAGATGTGGAATAAGTTACACAGTAGGGAAATAAAACCAAAACCAAGTAGAGTCGCTGATTTCTTTGCTGAAAAGCAGCATGGTCAACTTGAGGGTCTATAAATCATCCACCTAAGAAAGTCCTCCTCCCAGCCCCACCATTCCTCAAAGCACACCACCTCCCACCACTCCTTCCCTTGCCATTTCTTCCAGCTCCACACTGCTGCCTCCATCTGCCCTCTCCACCCTTCAACACAAACACACATATTTTTCTGTGCAGCAGCATCCTTCAGCTGCCTCCTGGTTACCCTCCATTGTTCCAGGCCAAGACTCTTCTTACTGAATGCCTTCCCCATTCCTTCCAGTTCCACCCACAAGTCCTTTGACTAGTTTCAGAGTCTCACCGCCCAACCCATTCAAGCCATCCATGCTGGGGAAAAATTTCTTTGCAACAAATGCCCTTTCTAATCCATTTATCCTATCCAGTGAACCTGTTCCCTCCAACAATGAGTTTCCACAACCTCCTTAAAACTTGGAAGCTCTCTTACTAGGATTCTCTTTCACTCCAATTGTTTTCAGATTTTACAGAAATGCTACAGGTGGAGACCTCCCACTGTGTGACTCTCATCAACTCCTATTTATTGACACTCTCTTCTTGTGTCTCCCCTTCCTGCCCCAGAGCAGCTCTCTACACTTTCCTAAATGTCCTCCTGACCACTCTCACGTATTCCATGTTATACCTATAAAGATGTCTCCCTTTATGCTTTGGATTCCACTGTGCTGCACGCTGCAAATATTGATTACTATGCAACATTAGCCTTTTGATCAGGATAGTAACTTGTATATGCATTAAGAACGAGGCCTTCTTACCTTCTTCTTCATTCCATATGAGATTAGATATACAGAACATGGCAGCAAGCTGAAGTTTAGCATTTGAATGACTCTAAATATAGAAAAATAGTACTCAATTTTAGAGTAAGAAATTCAGAAATTCTCAGACTTATATTTTGGCATTTATCCTGTAATAAATAAGGTAGCAAATTCTTATCTACAACTTCTCTCAAAGACAGTGCCATAACAAAAGGCACTTGAGTAGCGTTAAATCCCTTCCAAATATTTATTGAGGTCTACAAGATACGCATTTTCCAAGATCATGAAATGTTTTCCATGTAGATTTGTTACAGGTATTGCGTAAGTCTCTGTAACATTCTTATGTGGAAATAACGACTGGATTTTCCTTTTAATCAGATCCTATGCCATACAGAACTGCACATGATCTCTTAAACACAACTGGGCATATGAAAGTGAAGCGCATGATACTGAATAATTTACAGGACAAAATTCTGAAGTACCCTCTTTTCATTGCTGCAAAAGACCAATATAAAACCTTTAAGAGAAATTCCCCATACCATGTAGTATTTGATTTTCTGCAGGATGTCATCATTGGTCATAATCAGTTCTTTTGCTGTCGTTCCATCTGCTATATTGGCAAGTATACATAATGTCTGAAAGAGAGAAAAACTGTTAAGTTATTGGCCACAGATCACGTTCCCATGATTTATACAGTTTCCCTGACAGCTTTGAACTTGCGACAAACCATTTCTTTAATTAGTTTTAATATCTTTAATCTGGAGTTTCCAGCTTCCTTACATCTGGGGCCAATGCCAAAGAGTTAACAGCTGTGGCTGAACAGCCCTGGCAAAAAAACCCAGCCATTGCCATTTTAAAATAAAAAGCAACATTCATTAATTCATTTCAATGAGTAAAATTTTAAGTCTCATGGAAATATGCAGCATATAGAAAAGATTAAATACACTGGAAAATAAAGCAGTCTATTCTTTATCAGTGGCTAGGGAAAAAAAACCCATATCCGTCTAGTTCTGCAGGCCAGGAAAAGGAAAGACAGAGGTCTATCTGCTGATCTAGCAGAGTAATAATTTCTTTTCAACAAGTCTAATCACACATCTTACCTGCAGAGATAACTCAAACTACTAATGCATCTGGTTATTTCCTGCAAATTAGAGAAGCCATCCTAACCTTGAAGCAACTAGGCCCATGTTGGCACTACACGCCCATGACATTAAGACTTGCAGAGGCAGCTTTCCTGGTCCTCAGGAGGCACTGGGAGATGCTCTACAAATTCTTTCCCAAAGTGCTGGGGAAGAACTTAACCATCTTTTCTGGACATGTAGGGATGACTACATGAGAGCACCGGAGAATGATCAGTACTTGTGTGATGCCTGTGTCTAAGCTGCACTGTGTTCACATCAGCAGTTGCAGGGATTTATTATTTCCGAGCTGCTAATTACACACTGATGAGCCAGTCAGTGATAGAGATAAGGAGTGTCCTGCTAGAAGTATGGGCCCTTGGTGTGTAGATAGGCAGTACCGGATGTATGACTTGATTCTGAAAAAGCAAGCTGCTGATCACACCACAGAGAGAAAGTAAGTGCTCTATGTATAAAGGCCCCAAAACCCTAAAGGTTATACTCAACCCTAGTCCACTAGCCCTTTCCAAGAGTATTTCTCATACACTGATTCTCCTCTAAAGTAATTCTGAGGTGGTTGGCAAGGTAAATAACCTACTGCAATGAAGGCCATTCCTGTCACTAGAGCTTTTTCAGGAAGAACTATTTAGAAAGACACAACTGTTTTATCCTCAGCTGTTTCAGAACCATGGTATCACTAAACTATCTATCTATTAGGAGTCTTTTGAGGTTTTTTTGCTAATTTTACACTTAAATAGCCATATAAAGCCTGTTCGCCTTCAGCCCATTCTTCACTGAGCAGAGATTTAGACCAGTCTGGATTTAGCTGTATTTTTACACTTATTTGCCATGCTCTTTGCTACCAATATCCATCCTAAGCCAAAGCAATCCTCTGGAATCTCCCACAGCTTCTCGCTGCCCATATTCTTCATCACCACATGCCCTGTGTAAGGAAGAAACAGGGTTCTCCAATTGACTGTCTTGTCTGTCACAAGAGTTAATCAGCCAAATTCTGTCCATCCAACCTCTTACTTTTGCTTTAGCATCCCTGCAGCAGGCATCCCTGTACGCTGCCCCACCCCCCATGCTGCCACCAAGCCAGGGATGCTTTTCCCTACTGGCCATCTCCTCTTTCGTTCTCCCTTTCCTCTTGCATTTTGCTTTTCTTACATTTTGTCTATGCATGTCCCTCCCCACCTTTTCCTGGGCTACGCCAACATGCTCTTTTCCCTGCTAGTGCCTCTTCTCCTCTGGTCGCTGCTGCCTCCTGCAGGCACCCAAGAACACCACATCTCCCAGCAGAACATGTATTACTGCCAGCAAGGCAGGCAATGATGGTATTCTTCATTACTGACTGCTCCAATGGCTGCTATCTCTTTCCCCAGTGTGAAATACTGGCCTCTTTCTCTTCCCTTGTTTCTGCTATTCCCTTTCTGCCATGCAATTGCCTTAGATTTAATTCTTCTGCTCTCACATACAGTGCCCTCCTCTTTACCAAACCTACATTTAAAAAACCATTCTGAATTCAATTCAAACACATTTGTAATAATCCATTAGAAAGAAGAGCATTCTTGTAGGTACTAAAGTTATTAATCTGACAGATCTCAGTAACATAGTCACAGCACATCATAATCCCAAAGATAACATGCTGAGAAGAGTAAGCATTCTTAGCTGTTTCTTAAATTTTATTCTGCCAAGACAACATGAAACAAAAAAGGGTACCTGCTCTTTGACTTCTATGTTGTGCTCCCCTTCCAGAATGAGGGTCACTGCTTGCATGATTTGCTTCCCGTGAGTGCTCATTATATGATCTATGTGCTGCCAAAGCAATGGTGGAATACAATCAGCGTAACTTTCCAGACGAAGAAGGGGCATTCCTACTTGAATTACTCTACGTAAAGAGTAGCAACACAGCACGAAGACCCTAGCTCCTAGCAAGGTCTCCCAAAACCAAGAACTTATCACAGCAGAAACACTTTATAATATTCCTCTTCATTTGAAGCCTGGTCTTATTTGAGGCCCATGATATGGGCCTTGGTTCTGATTTCACTGTAACCTGTAGAAAAGACACTGGTTTCCCAGTTGCACGGAGGCCAGTCTGAAGACTGAATCCTGCGGGACTCAAGCTCTAAGCATGATGCTGCAGTTAGAAAGAACCACTTCTCTTCTGATAACGGGGATATCAGAGAGGGGTAAGAAAACTGAGGTTTCTTATTGGGTATTTGCTACTCTTACTGGAACACTGTGACCAGGTCCGATATCCACATTTCAAAAGTCTGAGAGGGTTCAGAGAAATAAGCCATATACATTACTTATCATCTAGGAAACCTGTCTCAAGTTAAGAGACTTAGAGGTAAAAGGTCATTTGATCACAGACTATAAACACCTATACCACAATAAAATTGATCATTAGGAGTAACAGAAAAAGATGAAACTAGATCTACTAGATTAACTGATAACAAAAATCAAGAGTGACAGCAAACAGCCACCAGAGATTACCAGCACATGGCACATTACAATTTTTTAAGACGTTAGGGATTCTTGTAGGACTTCTTAAAATTGCTAATAACGAGACTTCATTTGAAAGCTGCTGGATGAGTTATTCTGGAGTGAGTTTTGGGTACAGAATGAGAATGGTTGGTTCTGGCTCTAAAACATACTACAGAAAGTAGGTGAAGCTGGGACGTAGTTTCAGATGAAAAACACCTTAAGTGATAATGAGACTCTGCTGTCAGAGCTCAGGGTGAATTTAATGAATGACTGGTTATTAAATATCTTTTCACATTAAGACAGAGCTAATTTTCTATGAAGCTTATTGAGACTCAACGAGTACAAATATCAGAAGATTTTTTGCAGTGACCTTTTTATGGTAGAAACACAATACGTGATAAATGCACAGTAGAGGCTTCGTGGTTTTTTTCCCCCACAAAAATGTTGGCTTGCCAAATGTTTGCTGCATGTTTTCCCTCTGTTCTTCACAGGGGATTACCCCTTTCTTTTCCTCCACCAATATCTCTTTCTCCCTGTCAAAAACAATTCACGGGCTTACATTTTCAAACCATTTTATTTCAGTGTGTAAAATGAACGTATGCATTTTGTAAGTGCACAGTCCCACAGTCAAATTCAAAAAGCCAGTACTATCTATATAGCTGGATAAGAACAGAAATATTTCAGGTGTCAAGGAAGAAGGAACACAGGTATCCTTAAGATATGTGCCTCTCCACACATTGACTCAACAGTGCAACCCTCTTATTGTTGTTATGGACAAGTTTCACAGAAAGACTGTTAGGAAAATAATTTTGCTGAAAGCTAAATGCAATGGAATTGAACATTAAATATAACTGTCTAGCTCTGCATTTGATAATAATTACAAAGTTTCAGTGGATGTAGAGAATTCTTTCAAATGTTTTCTTACACTGATTTGTACACTTGGTTACAGATACTTGGATAAATGCAAAGGCCTCAGTTTTAGCAATATATCAAACATTAATCTTAAACAGAAAAATAACTTGTCTTAAAAAAAAGATTAAGAATTCATTTGTATTGTCTGCATGTTTGATCAGCTTTCAGAAGAAGGTCTGTTTGCAGCTCTACTTACTGGGCGAGTAGACAGAAGATTCCTGAGCAGTCCCAAAGTTTTCATCAGAACATTCACATCGGAATCAGAAAGCAACTGGAATAACTGCTCTGTACTCAGACCTCGTAAGATGTCTGATTTGATCTTCTGTTCCGCTTGAAATGCCATATTCTGAAAGAGACAGAAATTTTTTGCTTGATTTTTTACCTTAAACTTGGGCTTTTACTCTTCTAGTAGAGTATTACCTGCGAGCATATATCCTTGCTAAAATTAATCTTGCAAAGGTTGTAATTTATGAGGAACTGCTACACAGTGAATCAAATTTCCACATAGTCTTATGGCTGACCTGGTTATTACTGCTTTTATTTGTCCCCTGGCATGCTACTGACACTACTTAACTGTTTCCCTGAATGATCTTGGCAACCAAACTGGTATCAGAACTGAAGAGGTTTTTTTATTTTATGGACTAACTGATGAAGCGCTCCAGGCTGATACTGTTTTCCTTCTGTAGTTAGGTGGAAAGACAAGCTAGATTTCAGCTAAGTTATTTTTAACAACAACTAATGAGTTCTTTAAGTTACATTCACTTTTTAAGAAGCAAGATTACAAGTGGCATTTCATTAGTGTGTTCTACTTACCATTAAAGCCCAAATGCCGTTCACTCGCAAGGCAAGATTTTCACTCTGTGTTAAACTACATAGAAGTTCTATGGCTCCTGATTCTAAAATAGGCTAAAATGAACAGGGGGAGAAAAAATGTCTTTAAAACACTACTTAGACTAATCAGATATACATACAAATGTAAATATAATACAAAAAAGTCTTGCTTATATCTTATTCTTGAGTTTACAACATGTCCAGTCCACTCACGTGAACTGGCCAAGCCATACCCTATATTTACGAGCATTAAAAGGTAGATTTTTATGAAAAAACTCAGGTCAGGACGGCTTTATTCTCATGTGTATCCACATATATGTACACATGTACATACACAGCCACATATGTGTGTATGTGTATATATATGTATATACACACACATACTGCTGTGATACTATACACACATCTGCTACACACACAAGCAAAAGTTTTCCCCAACAACTTCCAGGTTGGGACTGCTCTCCAAAAACACTGTCTTCCTTGAGCAATCACATCTTTTTGCATATCAAGTAGGACATATGTGACTGTTTAAAAGAGGTTATGGAGACTGGAAGCTACTTGATATCTTTCTTGACCTTTAATCTTCATGTTTAGTAATTAGACCAAACTAAAATCCCACAGAAAAACTTTAGCACGATAAAGATGACTGAAGACTATTCTTGACGATCAGATTGAAATGCAAAACCTTGTAATACCACATCTTTAAATGACAGGATAAATATCAATACAGGCACCTTTTCTTTCAAACTGATTAATGTAATGAAAGTTAAATTTGGAGCAACTGCTTTCAACCTGAACCAAATTTGAAGGTTACCGGTTTTATCTAAGATCTGAAGAGCTCGTGTGCAGAAAGGATTCATCCAATGACTTATGCTGCTCTAGTTTGTAAGGTATTTCTTTCTTCCTGAAGTTACTGCTTCACAAGCAGTGAATAATTGAACACATCTGAGTTTTTGGGAAGTTGTGTGGGTTTTAACCCACTTAAAAGCTGAATTCATCAGAAAACAGGAATGTGTGGAAAAGGCTGCACTTTGTAGGAACAGGTTTGTCTCACTGAATAGCAGCAAGACCGTAACAGAACCAGGCAGCAGCAGTTTGTGCCAAAGTTCACCTGGTCCCAGGCACTTGTGCACGGCAATAAGCTGCCAGTGACTTCTCTATGTGCCTGGTAGCTGGCTGGCTCCTAGGGACTTCTCCACAGCCACAGTAGATGGGAGATATTCCAAAATTGGTTTTGACTCAGCTCTTTTACAGGGTAAAATACAGATCCACTTCAGCTTTGTTTATTTACTTAAGTGACTCGTAGTTTACATACAATTTTCAAAATACTATGTAGAAAAAAAAGGTGATACATCAGACAAAGATCAGATGGCTTATAGATGCTTTCAAATCTAACAGTTCTAAATATTCCTTCATTTTGCATAAGTAGTATTTTCTTTTGGCAATGGTGCTTTTTACATGAACCATGTGACCCAATAGAAAATTCAGTATTTCAATCCAATTTAAGTGGAAACACTATGCTGACTGTGACCTGCAGTATGAACAAGAAAGCCCATGGGCCAGTGAACTGTGCTTGGCATTATTTCAGTTAATTTTCTGTCTCACAGACATGACTAAAACCACCAATTAAGATCAACTGATCAAACCAAAGTAATCCAAAGTGCCCCATAGGAGCCCACATATACCACAATCTTGCAAATGTTTTCTGTAGTTAAGAAATATTTAAGACTTGGGGAATTGTTCCAATGCTATGAAGTATTGATATGTATGTATGATCTGTATGAAATACAGACATTGCAGAACTCAAGAACAGATATCCTGTATCATTCAGTCAAGAACAATAAAAACCACAAGACTCAGCTATGCCAGCATTTTCAAGATTACAGCAGTAATTCTGTAAGCAACAGATCATATTGCCAATTATCAGTTTGTTTTCTTCTTGCTTATGAATTTTTTAGATAAGTGTTTTACAAGTAAAAACCTCCAAAATTTCACGTCTACTTCTTTCTTTAGAGACTGCATGTAATTATTCAACCATATTTAACTGTCACAGCACTGTAAACAGATGATTTTTTTTTTTTTTATTCACAAGCTATCAGTGATACGGTCTGCCTAACATTACAGCTCTAAAATGCTTCACAAGCAGTGGCTACCAATCAAGATACCTTTATGCTTATTGAACCACTGTATAACGTAACTGTTGTCTGTTACCTCCTCTTGTTTCTGGATAAATACTAACCTCCTTGCTTGGAGAGAATTCCAGAAGAAGATTGCATAGCGTGGAAGATGCTACTACGAGAATTTCATTTGGAGCATTCTGTAAAACCTGCAGCCACAAAGGGGAGAATGAGGAATCTCCGTTAACTAGTAAGATAAGGAAAGGATTATTTTGAAATGGAATACCTGTAATTATGATATTCCGTACTTTAGGAGATGCTGTTGCTAGCAGTGCAGATCCAGACAGTGCTCATTCAACTCAATGTGATGATACACATTACATGCCAAGCTGGAGCAACACAAAGTTATTTCACAGAAGCCAGATTTGAGAGCTTCAGGTCCAATTTAAAAGAAATCAGTGGAAACAGATCCCTGCTCCGCAAAGCCTACATGTGCTGGCAGCTGTAATTTAGCTCTGCTGCCATGCTCTCATCAGAGAGCAAGCTGTGTCCTGCAGCGCAGCTCTGTGTCATGGTTTACAGAAAAGAGGAGGAAGCTCCAGGAAGAGCCTCCTGAACACTTCTGTACCTCGTGCAAAGCACAACACAGCAAATTTCCTCATGACCATCCTTTCAGAAAAGCAAGTAGCCTGCAACAAGGCTACTCTCTCTTATCTGTGCCTGGATCTCCAGCAGGACCAATACATGCCATTCTTAAACACAGCATCTCCCTTGCACATTCTGAGAAAACTCAGTGCAGAAATAGGCATGGAGGATACAACTGCTCCTCCAGCGAAGAAAGGGGGAATAGAGGGGTTATTCTGTACCAACTTTTGTTTCAGAGCAGTGAGCAAACTGCAAACATTAACAATTACTGCATTTACAGCAGCTTGCACTGAAGTACATATATGTAAGTCCTATAGTTTTAGACAGTATTCTTCCATGGCTTATATAGCTATACATGCTAGGGGAGAGAGAAAGGACTTAGATAGTTGTTATTAATCTAGACTGAAAATTAATTTATCTTTATTTAATACTACTTTTATTTTTCTATTAAGAATAATTCTTGACGTTTTGGAATGAACGTATAGGTTTCCGACTTCAGCTTATTTAATACAAATCAAAATGAACAACTGCCAGCAGCTGCGTTTACACAGAAGTCTGACATCTACGTTTGTTTTTTTTTTTTTTCACATGGCTCTCCTTTTATGCTAGTTGTGCTTCTTCTGTCGTTTTGTGGTTTACATTTACACAGGTTTGATGTTTTCATGTTTGGCCTTTTGCAAACTCTTAAAATATTCAAACCATTCCCTCCAAGCCCCTTCAGGTGATGATCATAAGTCCTGAATCATGAGATTATTATGCTATAGTGATAGCAAAAACTTGCATGATCAAATCTCCCTTGACCTCCCAATAATGAATTAGACACCCATGGATTAGTATCACAACTCACACACCCAATTCAAGGATGAATGCTTAACTTGTAATAAGCGTACTGCATATATTGCCAGAAAACAATTTCCCCATCGTTTCTACCATGAAACTGTAGAAAAAAGTAGGCCCATACTTTAGGGCCTCTAATTCATGCAATCAACATAAAAGGCTGAGAAAGTCTCTTGGCCTGCAGCCATCAAGGTGGCCAGAGTGTAGGATAACTAGTGAGTCAAGTTTTCTTGAGTCCATAATTTGTGAGAATTAGAACATAAGCAGGACACAGAAAGTCAGGCCCGAATAAAATGTCACTGAGTAGTATGCCCAACAGGCATCTTTCTTGTATTGAAATATCTGGACCACTAGACAACTGAAGGATCTCCTGATCCTTTACTTCCTTCCAGGCTCTTGAGTGAAGCTTTGGACAGTCAGCTCACATAACTGCCTCGTTATCAGGCTCATCAGTTCATTTTTGCCAACCACACTTTCTCCCGTCTGGCTATTTTACTTCTGAATAGAGAATCAAGTTCACTTCAGGTGATTCTCTTGGTGATTCTCATGGATGCCTATGCTGCCTAAGCTTTCAGGCTTCTTGCTAGCAGACTTCGTCTGTTCCCCATTTTCAAGGCCTAAAAGATGTTGAAACTGAGAAACTGGTTTATTTATCTGCACTTAATGACATTCACATTACAGGATGAGAGATGATATATACCTTACACACTTTGACCCCATTTAATCTTGTGGATAAATGCATTATATTAAAACATGTCTTTTTAAAGGTCTTGCTGAGCTCTATAGCTTCAGTTTTAGAATCTGCAATGAAATCTAGAAGGTAGAGAATTACAGGAGAAAACTCAGATCTAAATTCTCTTGTAGGGCTTATAGACCAAGTTTGAACTGTGCCATCTAGTCTGAGCCTGAAATTAAAGGAGATAGAGTCCTCCTAGCGCCCTATGTAAACATTAGGGATGACTTAGCCTCACCCACTGATCACAAAAAAAAAAAAAAAAAAAAAAAAGGAAGCAAAAAAGCCAAACAAAAATCAAGTATGGACCACAGTCCTCTTTGCTGCTGCTTGGCTTTCGTTTATTTACGACTCTCTTAGGAGAAGGTAATGGAATTTTCATTTCTAGGTAACTTCTATTATGATTCTACAGAAAGGTACGCAAATTGAACGGACACCACATCCTCCTTTAATGGAACAGAACACTGTAGTAGTTGAGACTTGAATTTTCTTTACTTACCTTCATTAAAGGTTTCCATACAGCATGATCCTGAAAACTTGTCCTGAGCTGCTGTACAGAACGGGACAAACTGTGCAAACATCTGTAACAGAAAAGAAACCTTCATTGTGAAACACACACACTCACATGTACACTACTGTAATATATACATTGCTTCTACACAAAGATTCAGCTTAGAATTTGGTAAGTAGTAGACTATAAATAGCAAAAAGAAAATACTGTACTAGTCCAGGATAACTCCCCACCCCCTCCCCAATAAATTTTCCAACAGTAGAAATTACTTCAGATTAGCTTTTGAAAAATCAGCAGAAATTCTAACAAGTGCAGCATCAGACTTTGATAAGACAAAAGTATTTGTATGAATCAGAAAAGCCTCCTACCTGACTGCAGCTAATCGCACCTTGATACTGGATTCAGACAAGCCATTAACAATACGGTCCATCATATTTTCGGTCTCAATGATCTGGAGCAAAAAGGAATTAATGTTATATGAATAAAATAATATGAGCATTTAGGGGTTGTTGGTTTTTTGTCTGCAACATTTTAAATATTGCATATAAAAACCGTAGCTAAAAACAGCAAGCCACATTCTCTTCCCAGATTAAGTGGACAGTAGTGTGTGTCTAAATACAATTCAGAAAAACACATCTACATTCTGTGTTCCACTACTGCTTTCAAAATGATTTTATTAATCATCAAGGAACAAGAGGATTATATATATATGAATTACCCTTAATGTCATATTAAAACAAAAGAGAGCATGTGCGAGTGCACACAATATATACAAACTACAGTTCAGAGACATGTTGTGGAGCTACCTGGAAAAAAATACATAGTAGTTCATCTGCCATATTTAGACATGGCCAGCACAAGCACTTAAGACTAGAATAAAAGGGAGCTAATACCAAGATGAAAGATGGCTTTCGTATTATAAATCAACTTTGTCATGTACACACCCACCACTTATTAAAAATTATGCTTTGATATGTAAAAGAAGGATCCTTACTATTAACTAAAGAAGTTCATCCTGCAACAAGAGAGAAATTTATGGGTTTGAATTCTGGAGATCCTGAATGGCTCCCCACTGATAAATCTTCCTGCTAGTTATCTTTTCAGTGCTGTGTTTTCCTGCCTCCTTTCTGTCCGTATCTTTCTTCCTTCTGTTTTTCCCCTTTAGCCAGCAAATAAACTCAGAAAAATCTCCTGCCTTATGTTTTGGTTTGACATAGCAACTCCATGCTTAATTTTAAAAAACATGCTGCTTTTAATTATTCATTTGTTCAATTTCTCTCCACTTTCCACACACATTTTTAACTATAAAAGTGCTCCCACCATCCAATCCCTTTCCTGTGATGTCCAAGTGGAGTTTGTTCTCCTTCACACCAATTGCTTTATTAAAACAGTGCAAGCCCCCTTGGTCATTTCAGAATCATGGAACATATTTTGACCTTGTTTCCTATTATTAGACTTTCTAGGGTTGATTTTTGAAAAAAAAAGTTTGTTTTATAATAGGATACATGACAAGAGGTATATTCCATCCCTCAGAACATAGGTTTCAGAATTACTCATATGCCACAACAATATCCCTGCACAGCTTATGAGAAGCAAGGACCACAACATGTTGAAAGACAACTTATTGTGAGAATCTAGTTCATCACTGTGAAGATGTTTACATAAGTAAACTTTACTCTTATATTTTGTTATGGCAAGACATTAATTTTTGTTCAAATGCAAAGAAAGTGCAATGTAAAAATTTATATTAACATAATAGGAGAGCCTTCTTGTTTCAACTTACTTATACCACAATGAAAAAAAGGAATGGAAGAGTGTAAATTCTTGCACTGCCCTTCAGCCCAACTTCCAGCTATGTCTTTGCCTGATTGCTACCATTTTTCACAGGCTCACCTTTTTTCGGATATCTTCATCATTTGCTCCCAGGGAAGCATAAAGCTTGAAAGCAGCCTGGCGCAGTTCATGGGCGTGCTTCAAATCATGGTCAAGCTATTTAAACAAAGCACAGATACCAAATTTAGACACTAAAAAATTACAGGTGTTATTTTCTTATTTGTTGTAAACTAGTGCTTATCTACTGGGGTTTTGTCTACCACACCAAAGGCAGCCTGAAACACAAATGACCTGCTGTTCCATTAGCTGATATTCACGTTTACCAACTGAATACAATAATTGAAGTTAAGAATATGGTTAATTTCTCTGCTGAGTTACAGATAAGTCAACTGAAACAATTTGAGGCCAAAACACTTCTATAAAGTTACGACTCTATCCAGACCATATTCAGGCAAAAACTATTCTTATTTACCCAACAGAAACTTACAGGAACAAGCCAGGAGAAGTGAAAAAATTGGGAGAGAATGAAATGAAGTTTTATCAAGAGAACTGAAGCGCAAGCAGGAACCAAAGCCAGTCTCTAAATCACAGGACCTCCATCTTAAGGTGGATGTTAACCTCCAACTTCTGCTGTAAAGGCAACACAGCAGGGTGCAAGCTGTCTAGGAGGTTTCTGAAAGGTAACTTCTTAACACAGGTGCTAGAGGGGTGAATTAGGGTGATGCACCACTGGATAGGCTGCTCACAAATCAGGAAAAACTGCTTGGGAGTAGGATAATTAATGGGAGCACTAGCTATACGGATCATAAAATAGCGGTGTTCAAGTTCCTGAGAGGCGTGAGAAAAGCACGGAGCAGAGTACAGAGCCTTGACTTGAGGAGAGCAGACCTGGAGGAGCAGATGGGGTGCACCCTGGCTTGTTCAGCCAGGAGAAGAGAAAGCTGAGCAGAGACTTAAGAGCAGCCCTCCAATACCCACAAGAAGATTACAAAGAACATGGAGCCAGACTCTTTATGGAGGTGCACAGCAAGAGAAGGAGAGACAATAGTCAAATTGAAACAGGAGAGGTTCTTTCTGGACATAGGAAAGAAAAATTCACCATTAGAACAGGCAAACTTTGAATCAGATTGCTCAGAGAGGTTGATTAATCTCTATTCTTAGCAGTTTTCACGAGCCAACTGGACAAAGCCTTGGGCAATCTCATCTAAGCTCAGCACTGACCCTGCTTTGAACATTAAGACACTCAGAAAATTAAGACACTCAGATTTCCTCACATTCTTTCTAATGAGAATAATTCTATGATTCTGGCTGCCCTCAAGACTCTGTACCACAGGGTTCCACAAAACGATGCAATATTTAAAGTCTACACAAAATGCCAGAAAAATGCTAGTATTAAGCAGCAAAGCACTGCAATAAAAGAACTATCAAAAATTAAGCTGTATGAGTAATTCTCTCTGGTGCAGCTATACTAGAGCAGAATGTATTATATCATTGTTAAAAATATTTAAAACAGACAAGTAATCTGTTTGGCAGGGTCCTCACTCATGTAGTTTTTACCTTACAGGGTGTAATTCAAAGCATTTTTTACAAAGTAAGCACCCTGGCTTCCCAGCTGACTATTTTTACAGACTTTCTGAACGCTCAAAGCAATGTCATAATATTTATAATTGCCCCACTCACGTTTGGAACCTAATCATATTTTTGATGCTACAGCCAATGTCCATTACTCCCCAATCAGCTGCTAAACTTCCTTCTGTTTATTTAATTTTATACTGCAACTTTTTTTTTTTATATTTAATTTGCATTTTTACATAGAATTCAAGGCAGCTCCATATGCAGAATCAATCCCATTCTATAAAAGTCTGAGAAGTGAGTCTACTTCTTGGGCTAGCTTCAGAGGAAAACGAAGGCTCTGTAATCCAGTTTTTTGGGGTACTTTCTAAAAATCAGACTCAGTAAGAGGGAAGGGAATAGACAATGGATATTTCCTTATGTGGAATATAAAAGCAGTCTTGCTTCTGAGGTTGATTGATCCACTAGTGCTTTGATTGATCCACTAGTGCTTTGAAAAGTGTATGCAAACCTGTAAAAAAAAAGTTCATGGATGAGAACTCCTAGTGCAACACCTATGAAACTAAGTCTCCAAGGTGTATTTGGTCTCTGTTTATCCAACCTCTTGCAAGTGCACGCAACTCATAATACGAAATGCTACATGACATCCACATGTTTTTCTGCTTTAACAGAACAGAACCGTCTCTGAACTTAACATTTTTCACAAACCTGACCTAAGAGTTAAAACTGATCTCTCATCATATGGACTATTATCTCTTATGAAGCTGAAATGTACTGGCTCCTGAAGGTAAGCCTTTTAAACTCTGCAAAGGAGAAACGTGACAGATGTCTCAGTCTGGTACTTCATTGCTATCTCTGGAAAAAGTCATGAAACTTGTATGGTGAAACTATATTAAACTACTCATAGCCCATCTCTCTATCTTTGACATGCAAGAATGGCAGCATCCTTCTTACAGAATGGGGAGTGCAGATATACACAACAATTTTAGTTTGGATAATACAGGCTCCAGAGAAAGCAGTGAGCGACCAAAGACTTGAGGACTATATGCATCAGGAAATCAAGTCCTGCTGGACCTCTGGTCAACTTTCTACTGAGGAATTCAGACATAAGGTTTAAATAGAATTAAAAAAAAATCCTGAACCCATTTATTATTGCTTTTGCACATTTTTCAAAGCTTCAGAACTGGGTAAGGAAACGTACCCTCTTGATATCAGTGATTGCACTCACTGAGCTGGGATACTTGAAGTAGTCAGCAAGCATGACAATGAGGTGGTCGGTAATGCTGGCAATCCTCTGGAGCTCCACATCTGTTTCAATCAAATAGGCCAGTGTTTCTGCCCCTTCTACTCGCTCCTCCAGCAGTCTTTCCTTACTACACATTCGAACCAAACATGGCAGAGTCTGAAAAGTTTAAAAAAAAAAAGATAAAATAAACAAACCACCATTGTTTAGCGCAGCTACGTTCATAAAGCAGGTCACAAAAAAATCAAACAGCTAATCAAAGAGAATTCTCAGCAACGTTCTTCATATCGATACCTTTAGGCAAAAAGATTTCAGTGGTTTTAAAGACCACACACAGAGCGAAATTGTTCAGGCATTACTAAGTATACAGTAGGCTACTTTCAACCAGCTTCTCATGGAGTCAAAATTAGTCTGCATGAATGCAATGTTTAGAAGTGATCACAGTCAAAGTTTTGCAAAAGCTAAAAAAAAAAAAAAATCCCCTCAAAAATTCATATTTGCACAGGTTTATTCTTACTACACACATGAACCTAAAGTACCCAAGCTGCCCTTAAGAAGTACTTGACCCCTCCTGCCCTTTTGTGATCTAGGATTGACTAAGGACAATGAAGTCAAAAATAACCTCAGGGCTTCCTTGACCCATGCTTGCTGCTAGGAGTAGTTGGGAAGAGAGAACTACTCTTAAGTAGTATATTTAGTCAACCAGAAATAAAGTCCACTTGGAATCCAGGTCCATTCTGCCTTACCCTGACATACCCCCCTACCTTGGTTACAGTCATATGGCAACACTTTTGTCATACCTTCCCTACTTTAAATATTAAAAACAATCAAATATTTCTTTACCTGATGCTCAGTGAAAGGCACTTAACTCTGGAAAGACCAATTCTCCAATGGTTGGGACTCTGTTCACTCAAGCCTCACCAAACAGAAGTATGAAAATAGATGAGGAATAGTATCAAGGTTTTTGCTTGCATTACTCCACTGGCTTCAACAGAATTATGCTAGTAGAAAATGTTTCTCAGAGTTATGTTATGTTTCTGGGGACCTGAAATAACATTTAACCATTGACTGTTCAAATGATTAAATAGATAAGTATCTCCATTCCACAGGTAAGGAAGCAGAGTTTCAGGACTTGCCTACATTCATTAAAAAAGTAGATGCTACCACAAGGATTACCATCTAATCCTGCACCTAATCCAGGGAGCCAAAGCACCTCGTCTCTGCACAGCTGTCACTTAAGACATCAGATAAGACTTCCAGACTGGACAGTTGAAAACTGGTTCTAATAGCACAGACACATCTAAGGACCTTCTGCTTCCTCAGGAAGTTAGGCAGAACTCTTTAAAAGAGAAGACAGCTGCTGAGGGTTGGTAAACTTAAGCAGCCCTCAGAAATCACCTCATTCCAAAAGGGAGATTTCTAGGACCTCTGCAAGTTTGTTCAAAGTTTGCTTTAAAACCTTCAGGCATTTAATTGTTATGATACTTTTTAATCTGTAGAATTCAGAACTGCACCATAATGATTAAATGTCACCAGTTTCAATTACCAAGCTGGCATAAGGTATAGCAAAAACTGAGACTGGCATAAACAAACTCATAAAATCTGAACATAAGCTCTCAAAAAAACAACATTCAGGTTGACTAAGAAAGAATAGAAGTGGAATTCCATGCCTAAACCATGAAGATATTGTATCTCCCAATTCTTTCCAAGGTCAAATGGCGTGAAATGAGCTATTTCTTGGAATTGAAGGGCTAGATATTGTTAAGTCACTGGCTGCAAGCACCCAAGAAACACAAATCTCATACCTTTCAACTTTTAGCAATTCCATCTGTTTAAAATTAAACAAAATGAAGAATTCTGAAGGACACATCTTAACTGTTCCATTGGACCTACAGGTCAGTACAACGTAATTAATGCAGAGGAGCAGGGGACTGTATTAGAGGTGTAAGATGAGGAGCCACAAAGCACACCTGACCTTTTCTGGCCAGCAGATAAAAGTCTGAAAATGGACCGTAAAGATGGAATACTTAATCCACATGGTATTGCTGGGATCTATAAGGGTTATCTGTACAAATGGTCACTTCCGTTATTAGGATTCCAGAGAAATAATTTCCCTTCCAAACAAATCCATTATTTATCAACCTGCTCCACCTTCTCCCACCCCAACTGATTTTATTTTTTCATGTGTTACAGGCCAACCCACTACTCAAACTGAGCAATGAAAATAAATCAAAATCATTTTGGAAACACACATCCCTGACTGTCCTCCAGCTGAAGAAAGTTTGATAGCAAAGGGTCAAAGTTCTCTTCAATAATTTCTGAAAACTAAAGAGGGCATTGCTTTGTTTTAGTTCACCATAGGTCAAACAATTTGTGACTGGAAGCACCACAGACTGAGACAGTGTGTTATCTTAAAACTATGAGCTCCTGGAGCGACCCCAGAAGAAAAGAAGAAATTACATGAGTTGTTTGAACAAGAGGGCAAGGTTCTGTGCCTTCCTTCTGTCCTCACTCTTTCGTCTACTCTCGAGTATTACAATAAATTTTAGTCCAAAGTTTAAAACGTTTATTTGCACAGAAGCAGCTTCCATGAGAGAGAAAGTGCTCCTATTGCTGTAGTCTGGCAAGCAAATCAGTTCACAAAGGTTTGAAAGGACTACAGTTATCCATTCGGCCCACGTGGCAGAGCATGCGTAGCTCCACGCAGCTGGCTATCAGCAATAACCTGCCTTTGCCTACAGCAGTAGTCCCCCACTACTTCTCCCCAGAGCAGAACAGTTCTGGAACCCACACATCCTGAGCAGGACATAGCCTGGGATTAAGCAGACAGTGGGGATTTCTGAAGGGAAGAAATTATCAAAAGAAGAATGAGCAGGAGCGAGATAGGTTGGGACCATGGAATTGTAGCCCTCAGTTTGCAGGTGTTGTAAGGAGAAAGAAGAGGGATCAAGGAATTGGAGTGTCAATTTGGAAAAAAGCTAAGTAGGAGAATGAGGAAGAGGGATTCCTTACTTGCTGTAAGACCAGATGCCTGTGCAGAACAGATGCCACTATCAACACCAGCAACACTGGAATGCATTGCATTTTGGACTTTCTTGTGTAAAAAGACAGGAGGGATGGGCCTTTGTCTCAGCCAACATATGGATTTTTCATCTGTCATTACCTAGGATGACTGATACCAAAATCCCACTAAAAAAAGCTGTAGATATGCAAGGCTCTACTGCCATGGACATTGAAAGGCATGAATACGCTTTCTTATTGCAGTATCTTACATACAACCTACCCTTTCCCCAGCATTACCAAAAAGTAGGACTTAGGGACAGTTCTCCAGTTTAAAATGTAGGCTTGCAGGAGCCATCAGGGGTTTGCAACAGACCACAGCGAGAAGATACTGATCAGTAGCCTCTGGTGATGAGAACTATTTGTTGCTTTAAGCAGTATACGCAGCTCTCTGCAGCGCCATGGACTTTCAGCACACGCTATGGTCACGCATACACTTATTAGTTGTCTGTTCACAAGAGGATCTGAACACCATGGAGGGGCCTTCACAGCCACAGATAACGAACTCCCATAAAAAGTTACTGGATCTCAGATCACACACCGCCAAATCCTGACAATGACCATTTTGCTGATTAGACCATTCACTTGCTAGACTCATTCCAAGAACACGTTTTCTTCTCAATCTCAGTACAGGGGCACATATGGGGAAAAAATTATTTTTTCAGGCATTTAAACTGCATTTCCTTAAGTCTGAACTATGTGTTATTCTCTGGAATGAAGGATGCTACAAGCATACCAAAAGCTTTGGAGTCTGCTAGACTGCTACAGTAATTATCAAAGAAAGCAAACATGTTTTCTTATCGCAGCATTTCAGTAATACTTCAATATCTTATGGAGAAACAAGCAGTGTTAGTATTATCTGATCTCTGGCTGATATGCTTGCTCATCAACAGCTTTTTTTTTTTTTTTTTTTTTTTCTTTTGACTAGCTATAGAAGTGTGACTATTTTAAAAGAGATTACATTCCTATGGTATTTAATGAAGTTTCCTTTACTGAATTTCCTTAAAGTCACATGCAGTATAAAAATCAAATCCAACATCTCAGCATGACAGTTTCTTTTTTAATAAAAAATTTCCCTAGCTGAACTATGAAGCAGAGAAATCTACAAAACCATCGTGAAACCTGAGAAATCATCTGCTCATAACAGACTCCATGTAAAGATTGTGCAAGTATTCTGACTATAGTCTTGTGAAATAAGCTACTGAAAGACAAACCAGTGTCTTGTTCACATACAGAGACCAAGGCAGTAATGTTGTTTCCATGTTACTCACAAATGGCTACTGAAATGATCACAAACCTCAAATAGATGTGTGTCAAACTCTGGAATATTTATTCCTGGATATTGACCATTTAGTATGATTCTTTATTTAAAACTTCTTAAAAAAGCCATGTCACTGTAAATGCTTAAAGACGCAAAGGGAAATTAGGAAACTAATTTTTTAAATTAAAAAATCAGGAGAACTTGGTGCTTTGAAATCTTCAGTGTAACAGTTTTTGTGCTACTTTTTATACAAGATAAATAAAACCAGGACAGCCTTATGTGAGAAAAACATTTTAAACAGAAAACTGTTCAACCAGCTCACCTTAAGAACGATGCAAGAATCATCTGTCCGTATTGCTCCAGCTCTGCACATGGAAGTAAGGCTGTAACAACATAATAAGACATACATTCACCTATCGTTTTCTATGCACTTAAGTAAGACATTGCAGAACAACCAACTGTACTAATGAAATGTAGTCCCCTTTGTTCTACCATTGATTTCAATGCATTTATGCTTACTAGACTTGGGCACACGAACAAACTACTACAGACACTTTTAAGCAGATTTCTAGTACAGGCTGGGGCTGCTTGCTGGAGCACTGATCAATATATACACCACACACTGGTCAAAAAAGGTCTATCTATCAAATTTGATTGATCCACAAACCTCTTTTACCAACAAAAAAACCCCAAATGAACAACTTTCATTAAGAGCAATATACATAGACCTGTCCTTTGCTGCAAAGAGCACGGGCAAGCACTCAAAACAATCAGGAAAGAATCGATGCAGGGTTGGTAGCCTGACAGCTCAGTCAGAAACTGTTCAAGCTTTGCATTAGCCTAGGAGATGCAGTATCGCTGTGATGCTTGTCCATAAGCACGTCTTAACGCTCTACTGAAATAAGCACATCCTTGCCCAATGAAGTCTCCTGACACTAAACCAAACCAGCATTTGTTCTTTATTAGACAACAATTTAGTGGATATGACAAATCCAAGGTCTCCAACTACAATGTTGACACACAACATCAGAAAAATGCTTAAGTTGCTTTGTTAATCTACCTGTACCTGTGCTCCAAGCTACCAGAAATGCAAAGCAGCTCACCCACCAATAAAAGTGGTTTACATTTAAGTGGTTTATATTTTTTACCTGCTTTGCTACACAGAAGCGGAATGAAGCTGGAGGATAACTGCTCTGCATTCAGTGCAGGAACAGTCAAGTATGTTTTGTTTTAGCTTTTGAACAAAGCCATTGTAACTGGCTTTTATCATGCCACAGTTGAGGTTAAAAGAAAGACTGAATTTCAGTGAAGGTGACCTTAAACTAACATGTTTCAACTCTCAATTGGGCATGCCAAAAGTGTACATAGGGTCAATTATAATTGCTCAGCTAAGGAGCAGTAATATGCTAACATACTGTAGCCATATCATGTTTCACTGCATTCCTGAGCTCTTTCCAAGTGCCTAAAGAGAGTTCTTTCACCTCTTAGAAGGTAACATCACTGATTCTGTTCCAAACACCTACCAGTGACAGACATAGCTAAAATCCCATAATCAGAAGTCTTTTTATGTATTATTTCTCGGAAGTGAGAAGATAAGACTTGACTGTTAGCATAGCGATCATTGTATAAACTTTTACTGCCCAAGCCTTGCGGCTGACAGCAGGAAATACTCATTTTCACACCTGAACAATCAGGAGGAAAGCACCCATCTTGCAGTTGCCATTTAGTCCAGCTAGACCCTATTTGCCAGAAAAAGTAGCTCTATTTCAAACCTGGAATAAGTTAAAGTATTTTTACTTCAGGTAAAATAGGCCTGGCTTAGCTGGAAGCAATTCCGGTAATTTTAGTAGAAAAGGTTACTGCTCCACTTGTAGCTGCAAATCAAGAGGCTTACTTAAGCCTTTCCCAAGAGGCTTACTGCTCTTCCCTCTGTGCCAACACAGCTGCTCAAGTGAACGATCCTTACGCCATTTCAGTCAAGAGGTAGTAACTTGGGTCTTCCAGGTCTACTTCAATTGTTGAAAAACAAAGGAAACTTCTTAAGATAGCCCTGCATGCCAGTCTGGATTCAAACAGAAATTTAACAAAAGGCTTCACAAATGCATAAAAAACCCCTTCTACATCTGCATTCCAAGGACTCTACTAATAAATCAGAGAGGAACTGCAGATTAATTAACCAAAGCTGGCAAGGCAGGAGCGAAGTCTAATTCAGAAGCCAAAAAAAAGAGGACCTGTGACAATTTCACCTGCTACTCTCATCAGAAAAAAAAGAAAGGAGAGAGAGTCTGACTTGGAGGGAATCAAGTAGGGAATGGACTTATAGAAGAAAAGCCAGTAGGTCTTTCCGAGTCCCCAGGACTGTCATGAAACTGAGGCCTTGTGTGCCCTACTAAGAAGGATGATTGCCCATGGACTAATTGGAAACCCAGTCTGAAACTCAAGATACTGGTTTGTCTTCCATTTTCCTGCAATTTTCTTTTTTGCTTTTCACCGCATCATTTTCTTTCATGCTTCCAAAGGTCCACTTGAGCCAAAGTACTGTAAAGCAAAAGCAAAAGATGGGATTCTCTACCCAACTCCTTCAAATGTGAAGTAGATCAGTAAAGAACACCAATAGACCTGGGAGTATTCATCCCAGAACAAGGAGACAGTTCAGAGCCAGAACAATTCTTTTAGCTCCAGCCTGCCTTTATGACTTATCAACTGCCATATATCTTGAGATCAGTCAAAAAAAAAAAAAATCATTTCTAATACTTAATTCTCTATGTATTCTCTGAATTCTCAAAGAAACACGTAAATCAATTGGAACTGAGACTGCTACAACACAGTTAATTTAGCTTGCCTTTTTCACTAAGAGTTACCTAACAAACCAGTAAAACCAGATTGCATAAACCAATTGTGGTTGGAAGGGAGCATGGGAGGTCCCCAGACAGACCTCCCACATGGAGTGGGATTACTTTCCTAAGACAACCCCCACACACATACATGCCTTTATAACTGCTTTCATGAATGGGTTAAGTCATCATAATCTGGCAACGTTACAAAAGAGGCCATCCTACCTACGCCACTTGTTCCTCACCCAGAATCTCCAGACCTTGCACTGAGACAAGTGCCAGTGAAATTGTTTGGTGAACTGAATCAGAGAACTCAAGAACTCACTGATCCAGGTCAAAAACAAGCCATCAAAATCTAAAAGAATAATCAAACAATATACCAGTGACCAAAGTCTTGAGTGACATTTGATTTTAATAGTTTATAGTGATGGGTAATTTTATCTCTTTAACCCCCCTGAAGTCATTTATTCCATTATTATCAATACAACAGAAGGAAAAGCGTCTTAAAGGGAGTCTAGCTTATGAAGTGAGTATAACCCTAGTGTTGCTGTTATGGAAGCTGGTCACATTTTGTCACAGGGTAGAAAGTCCTTATGAATATGAACACAAAGAAACGTGCCCACACCAGAAGGGAAAGTTTGATTTGAGCTATAAACATTAATTATGCTGTATGAGCACATGAAGCTTGAAGAATAATCTATTTTAATTAAAACAGTTGGGAAGAGAGACTAGCTCTGCTCTCTCATCATCTTGGTGCATACAGTTCTCAACACACCACAGCCCCAGTCACCTGAGTGAGTCCTCTGAACAGTGGTGCAGCAACAACATTAGCTTGTATTACATGATGGTATTTCAGTATTATACTCTGTAAGGACATGCAGTTTGACTATAGCCTATTCAAAGTAAAACTTATCATAAAATCCAAGTTACTTGTGAAAACTGCAGTTCAGCTTATGAAAATCCATGTCTGAATACACGTTCCTGACAAAACTGCTGCCCAGCAACATTATTTCCTGTCTTTGTACAGCAAAGAGTGAAAGTTATGCTCTAAAGTTTATTAGGTGAGAACCACTTCTTCAAGGATTTAGATAATGCAAATAGTATCTATAATTATTCCTAAGATTTTAGATCACACACTACTTTGCAACAGGCAAAAAGGGAACAGTTAAAAAGTAAGTATTAAATTGCATACTATTTCATTCTAATTCCTGATGAAAATTACCATTTGGCTGATGTGAGCTGCATTTCAATAGGCTTGTCCCTTTGTAACATCTTCACAAAAATTTGCGGTAACAATTCTCCATCAACCGACACTGCAAGCAATGAAAGAGAACTCCAAATAATTCTAATTCAGCCAGTCAAAAAAACGAGTGTCACATAAGCAACAGCAGCATTATACTTACCATTTACAAGAGTCATTGATACCTGTGGGTTTTCAAAGGCTAGAACTGAGAAGCATTTCAATGCTTGCATTCGAACCTGTGTAAAAACATAACATAGGTGAAGTATAAATGTAAATGCAAACTTAAAAGTAGAATTGGTCTAGACTGCTGTATAGGCTTGTAGAAAATAATTCTATATAATCAGTAAGAAATGTAGATGATGAATAAAAGGCAGATGGAAACATCTAACTCGCACCTTGACTCCTGTAATCTTCCTGTTGGAATTACCCTTCTATAGGGTATTTTGCAAACTATTTGTGAAAAAGACAAGCAAGGATAAAACTTGGGAACCAGACAGTCAGAAATACTGGTCTTATTTGTGATGCCTCACAAACGTGCAAACAACAACAAAAAATGGAAGTATCATAACAATAGTACTGTTTCTTTCCAGGACTCATAAGTACATAAGAGAATCAGAAATACGTCATTGAGATTTATATTCCAGAAGCCTTTAAAGGTGAGTTTAATAAAATGTCTAAAGAGAACCATCCAGTTGAAGTGATTCTAAACTAATCGTAAAACAAATGTATAGAAGTTTTAATGCCATTACACAGCTTCAGGTATCACCTGTACAAAAAGGATTCACAAATGACTTCATGCTGGATCTTCCTCCTCCAGTCCAAAACCATGTCTTGGTTTAATCAAACAGTATTTCATGGTTGCCTATTCACGCTAGGCTATGAAGTCTTTATAACCTCTTTTTTGACACAGGGAAGACCAACCATTACCATCTTCCCAGATGAAGAATCTAATTTAGTTCAGATATTGGTCCTTGACTTCACCTTCTACAGTTGCACAGATTTAAACTGTGTCCATGTCTTTCCATGTTTCTGTTACCACATTCTTAGCATGAAAACAAAGCAAGACTTTGACCTGAAGGATCACTGCGGAAAGTACTTACTGCAAGTTAGGTTTAGGCCCATCCCACCCTCCTCGACAAAAAGTCTTAGAAACATGGAAGTCCAAGGGTAGACGACAACAGCAGAGACAATCACACTTTTGTACATTAATTTTGTAATATCTAATCACAGATAAGATAAGATCTCTTCTCATCAGTAGTAGTGAAATCTTAGTCAGGAGGAACCGATAGCAGGCTATCTGGCTTCAGAACAAAAGCCAGGTGCTTTTGCTCCATTTACTTCTCAATCTAATGAATACAGTGTATGCTTCAAAGCAGCAGGAAGCACAGATTGTGTATCAAAAAAGCACTTGAAAAAGTCAAACGCACAGCTCAAGAGCTGTATTCTTGCCAGAAGGAAGACAGGGCCAGGGGGGTAAAGGTTCTAATAAGAACAACTGAAGTCTAGCTAGAAGTTAACTATTTTATATAATATTGCTTTATTAATTAAAGATATTAAAATTACTACAATGACTACTTTCTTTGCTAGTAATGTCTACTTAAGGGCAATTAGTTCAATAGTTACATGAGAAACAGGGAACGCAAGTATTTGGAAAAATACGTACATATGGTCTTGAAACCACTCTCTGTAACGCCGTTGTAAAAGCTGTAGTCCCTTTGTGTTAGACATCTCACCAGTGGTGAAGATGCACACTTGTAATGATATAACACATGGGAAAGATACTTCATCAGCTGGCTATGGCGTAATGATATAACACATGGGAAAGATACTTGTAGAATCAGCTGGCTATGGGACAATCCCAACACCAAAGGAAAAGAGGTTATTGAAAAGTAATGGGCAATTCTCTTGGCAGACCTAGACAAACTCTTCTCATGGGGATTGAAATCCCATTTTGAGGGTTTCTGCTGTTTATCGATGTGGTCCTATTGCCTAAATCATCTGAGATACCTTGCTGGCCTTTACTGTAAGTATTGAAAAATAGGCAAAGTTTTTAAATGCTGTCTTTTCCTGTTAAGGTCTTGTTTGGCTGAATATTAAGAAACTGGATAGAGAAATACGAGAATGAGATGGCTTGTATTCTACAAAAATCTATTAGTTACATTAGAAGTCTGAGAGTGTCTAATTACTGCAGAACACTAAGAAAGCAGCTAAGACCACAACGAAGCTGTTAACCCCAGGAGTATTAACAGAGGAAAGTGTATGAAAAGCAACAAAAAGCAGTTCAGTATGTACACCTGGAATTTAAAGGCCTGACCAAACTAGCAAAGGAGGATATGAATAATACCTTATACATCCCTCCAGTAAGGTAGGACTAAATATATATATTTTAATGCAACGCTACATGTATCTTGTTGGTGAAAAACAACTTGAAAACTTTACCTTGCTCTGATTTCTTTATTTTAAAGCAGCTCTTTGAAAAAAATTAGGGAAGGTTCAAAGCCATTAGAAAAGGTTCCAAGCCAAACACAGCTTGGAAAATTCACCTTATGATACAGGGCAAAAAAGGTCAGCTAATGGGAGAAAGAGCAAAATGTTGCTTGATCATGGTGCAAACTAATTAGTACAGAAAGACAAAAAACAGAAGTTTATCAGCCTCTGATAAACAAAATATTGAAGACCACATACTTCCTACTGGATTTATTAAAACAAAAACAAACAAACAAAAAACCTACCAAAAAAACCCCAAACCACACATGAGATTAACAAGCCCCTGGACCAGAGCACCAAGTTTCTCTTCACTTGA